GAGTCATTTCCTCTCCATTGGTCCGATCTCGATAATACTATCGGAGTGAAACAAGAGATCTAACGAAGAAAAGAAACTGGACTTTTTTTTAGTAACAAGTAAACCTTTCTGCGTATCTTAAAATATGAAAACTTTTTGAAAATAGTTTCAGATAAATACGCATTCTAAGGTTGGAGACGACCCAAAAAGCACTTGATCCTATCAGAAAATTAAGCCTACTTGGGTCTTGAGTATTGACGCGTAAGCAAATAAGAAAAGAAATTTAATTTTTTGACTAGAGAAGGTTCACTTGATAAAAACAAATTTTTTCTTTTACATTGAACTATTTCTATATCATAGATTATCTTTTGTGTATAAATGAATATAAAGACTCTTAACGACTCTAAGATAACCTATAAACTACCTAGCTTTAGAAATGTATTTGTTCATTCATATAATGATTAATTCTTTTTTAATTATTTGTTTGAGTCTTGCTCGAGCTGGATGATTAAAAATGATCATGTCCGGTTCCCTCGGGGGATGGATCTCTAAGACTTCACCTATCCCAATAATAAAAAAACCTGACTTGAATGATCCTGTATTAAGAGCTAAATTGGCAAAAGGTATGGGTCATAATTATTACGGGGAACCCGCATGGCCCAATGATCTTTTATATATTTTTCCAGTAGTTATTCTTGGTACTATTGCATGTAATGTAGGTTTAGCAGTTCTAGAACCCTCAATGATTGGTGAACCCGCAAATCCCTTTGCAACCCCGTTAGAAATATTACCTGAATGGTATTTCTTTCCTGTATTTCAAATACTTCGTACAGTGCCTAATAAAATATTAGGTGTTCTTTTAATGCTTTCAGTACCTACGGGATTATTAACAGTACCTTTTTTAGAGAATGTTAATAAATTCCAAAACCCATTTCGTCGTCCAGTAGCAACCACTGTGTTTTTTATTGGTACCGGAGTTACCTTTTGGTTGGGCATTGGTGCAACATTACCTATTGAAAAATCCCTCACTTTAGGTCTTTTTTAAATTTGTTTTGTGGAGTTTTGATTCAATTTAAAAAAAACCAAAGCTTGTGTATCTAGGGAAGCGTTTCTTGAAAGTTCTTCCTAGATACACGTCAATTCATATTCATGAATGTTTCAATTTATTTTTTTTATTAATTAAACCTAAGTTTATAATCAATACAGTGCAAAATATTTTCCTAGAATCCCCAATATATGTTTTATATCTTCTAGTTGAAAATGTTCTATTTTTAAAAGATCTTCTTGTTTTTGATTAAAAAGATCAAATAATGTAAATATATTTGACTTTTTCAAGCAATTATATATCTTGGGAGGGAATTCTAATTGGTCAATAAAAATTAATTTCAATGAAAGTTTCTTTTTTTTTTTTATAAGTGTAGTCACTTTATTATAAAAGATAAGGGGGGGTAGGGGAATTGTGTGTTTTGCATCTGCTAAATATAAGTTTTCTTCTTCCATCTGGAAAAAAGGAATAAAGAAATCAATCAATATTCGGGCGGATTCATGAAGTGCTTCTTTTGGTGTTAAACTTCCATTTGTCCATATTTCCAAAAAAAGTATCTCTTGTTTTTCATTCCCATAAGAATGAATACTATGATTTGCATTTTGAACCGGCATGAAGAGAGCATCTATAGGATAACTTCCATCGTCAAAGTGAAGGTCCACTTTGTTGAAATATCCGCGATTTCTCTCTATTTTTAATCCAATAAAAAAATCAATAGGTTCCGTCAACCAAGCTATATGTTGTGTGTTATCAACAATTTGTACATGGGGGGGTAATATTATATCTTGGGCAGTTACATGTCGAGGTCCCTTGATACAAATAGACGCATCACAACTTTCATATAGATTGCTCCTCAATACAATTTCTTTCAAATTCATTAAAATCTCATGTACCGATTCTTGAATCCCCCCTATGGTAGAATACTCATGCGAGGCTTTCTCAGATTTTACACGTGTGATACATGTCCCTTCTATTTTCTCCCAGCAAAGCTCTTCGCATCGCAATTCCTATTGTATCGGCTTGACCTTTTATAAGTGGAGATAGAATAAAGCGGCCATAAAAAAGGCGTTTACTGTCTATTCTTGATTCAACACATTTCCACTGTAGTGTCCGAGTAGATACTGCTACTTTCTCTCGAACCATAAAAATTTTGATTTAGTATATTAGTGAATCTTCTATTTCTCTTGATATAGGTTCACTTTTGATTTCTACACACGTCGTTTTTTGGGGGGTCTACAGCCATTGTGTGGCATAGGGGTTACATCCCTTATAAAAGTTAATAATATACCGCTTCTATGAATAGCTCGTAATACTGCATCTCTTCCGAGACCGGGACCTTTTATAAATACTTCGGCTCGTAGCATACCTCGATTCACTACTTTACGAAGAGCATTTATTACCGCGGTTTGAGCAGCGAAAGGTGTTCCTCTTCTGGTTCCTTTGAATCCAGAAGTACCGGCAGAGGACCAAGAAACTACCCGTCCCTGTACATCTGTAACAGTCACTATGGTATTATGGAAACTGGCTTGAACATGAATTACTCCTTTTGGTATTCTACGTGCATTCTGACGTGAACCAATACGTCCCCCCTTCCTACGCGAACTAATTCTCGATATATATTTTACCATTAAGCATTTTGTAAATCTGAGTCAGCGATATACTATATGGATATATCCATTTCACGATTCTTTCATTTCTATAATTGGTTTAGTTACTAAGTTAAGTTGCGAAGTCTTATTATCCCTGTCGTTGTTTATGTCTGGGATTGGAACAAATTACTATAAGTCGTCCCCTTCTCCGTATTAATCGACATCTGTCACAAATTTTACGAACAGAAGCTCTTATTTTCATATTCAGACTCCTTACATTTCTTTTAAATTTACTTTAGAGTTTCGGTTTGATTGGAAGATTATAATAAAAACATTCATTTTTTTTTTTATTTTCAATTTCTAATTTTGTTATTTTTGCCAAAGAGATAGCTAAGTTTAAAAATGACTCCTTTGAATCATTGTTGTGTTGCAAAAGCTTCATCGACTTGTTCTGAAGTTATCCGTCTAAACTAAAAATGAATTTAGCCTATTTTCACAAAAAGAACTTATAATCCAATCTTTATTACTTTATTAGTTGATTATCTAAATCAATAAAAAAGAAAACCAGAACATACTATTTGAAAAGGATTCCTTAATAAAAAAATTCTTGAAAAAAGGAAAGTGATTTTTGTTCTTTCATCCGAAGGACTTTATTCTTTATTTCAGTGACCTAGAAGCAATAAGGAATGGGGATTTCATTAGATTCTAAAATATCCCATTTGGGAATCATAGAAATGGAAAGTTTCTACCTAATTGGCATCTTGAAAATATTACCATATATAAAACAAAATCTCCCCCCCGATTCTTTGCAGTCGGGCTTCTCGGTCTGTCATTATACCACGTGAAGTAGAAAGAATTACAACCCCCATCCCGCCTAAAATTTTAGGTATTTTTTTAGACTTAGAATACATTCGTAGACCGGGTCGACTTATCCGTTTTAAATTTAGAATATTGCTAAAGGTCCTTTTTTTAGTGTTTATATGTTGCAGAGTTAAAACTAAAAAATTTTTGTTGTTTTCTCGATGATTTCTCACACTTTCAATAAAACCTTCTTTTAAAAGGAGTTTTACAATCTTTTCGTTAATATTACTGGATGGGATTCGAACTGTTCTTTTTCCATCCCTATGAGTATTCCGTATAGAAGTTATTATCTCAGCAATAGTGTCCCTACCCATGATGAACTCTAATTATGGAGCTAAAAATTTTTCTACTCTCAACGTGTTTTTTTTATTGTCTATGGATTATTGTGTTTATCTTACTTTATTTTAATCTTAAAGTTATATACGTGAGACAGATTCTACTCCATTTTTTAATTTTTTTTATAATACCTCAGGAGCTAATGAAACGATTTTAGTAAAATTTAATTGTCTTAACTCCCGGGGGATTGGACCAAAAATTCTGGTCCCTTTTGGATTTCCTTCTTTATCAATAACAACTGCGGCATTATCATCATATCGTATTATTATCCCGTTGCCACGTTTTAGTTCTTTAGAGGTACGCACGATTACGGCTCTAACTACTTCAGATCTTTGTAGAGGCATGTTAGGTACAGCTTCTTTGATAACAGCAACAATAATGTCACCAATATAAGCATATCGACGATTGCTAGCTCCTATTATTCGAATACACATCAATTTTCGAGCCCCGCTGTTATCCGCTACATTTAAAAGGGTTTGGGATTGAATCATAGCATTTTTTTTATTCTTTTCTTTCACAATGCAAAGGGCGAAGAAAAAAAGAAATATTTTTTGTCCACAAACATAAAACGAAACCTCTTTTTTTTTTGTTTTTGTTTCATTCTTAAGATTCTTTGGGTTGGTTCTAGAGTTATATCGTCTATTCTATCTCCGAAATAATGAATTGAGTTTGTATCGGCATTTTTGATGCTGCTATTGAAATAGCTTTTCTGGCAATATTTTTTGTTACTCCACCCATTTCAAAAAGTATCCGACCGGGTTTAACAACAGCAACCCAATATTCAGGGGATCCTTTTCCTGAACCCATACGTGTTTCTGCGGGTCGTACAGTAACTGGTTTATCGGGAAATATACGTACCCATATTTTTCCTCCACGACGTGCATTTCGTGTCATAGCCCGTCGCCCAGCTTCTATTTGTCTAGATGTGATCCAAGCGGGTTCAAGTGCTTGAAGCGCATATTTACCGAAACAAATATGATTCCCTCGAGAAGCTATTCCCTTCATTCTTCCTCTATGTTGTTTACGGAATCTGGTTCTTTTGGGGTTATAGTTGATGGATTTTTATTTATTCCATCTCTACTACAGAACCGGATGTGAGAGTTTCTTCTCATCCAGCTCCTCGCGAATTACGAATAAAGTATTTACAAAATGAGCGTTTGACTCAAATTGACTAATCATAGTGAAGATATCTAAATCTAAAGATAGATAATAAAAGTCTGGACTGAGAAGTCAAAATAATATTTAGGGATTGAGTGATCTTTTTTTAAATCTATTTGAATTGAAATGAATTATTCTACAGTTTTTTCATGATTCTCTGAGTCTAACTAATCCTTCATTTTTGACTATTCTTTATATTGCTTTAGATTGAATATTGATTCTTTTGAAAAAAGTTTTCGCGGGCGAATATTGACTCTGTCAATTTAGATTTCATTTCTAGGACGAGTTTGTGACATCTTATAGCTAGTATCTAGAAATAAAATAATTTAACATTGGTTTATTCCGCCATCCCAGCCAGTGAATGTTTAAGATTTTTTTTTATTTCATCTTGAATTGAATTGAATCTTTTGTATTCTCATAAGTTCCGTCGTCCCCATCACTTCTTACTTAATGGTTAGGTCCTAATTTTACAATGGAGCTCAAATAGTAATAATATATGAATAATTTAAGTCTTTAGCCATTTTTCTTAGTCTTTATTGGCTTTAAGCTCTTGACTTTATTTTTTTATTTTATCTCTTCTATATTTAATATCTAATTGAATATTTATATATAGATTATAGATTTCTATAATAAGAGTATATTGTTTTTTATTATTGAATATTCTTAGATTTCTTATTCTATTTTAAATACTTTAATATGCAGAATTTAAGTATTAATGCTTCATTACATTGCCTGTTTTGTTAGACCCTACATATTGGAATTTTCAATCATTGAGCTTCTTTTTCTCCCTTTCTCTCTCCCTTCCAATTATCCACATCTTTTTTATATTTTGCTTCGCAACTTCAATAATATTTGAATACTATTTTTCGTTTATGCAAATAAATGGCAGTTGCTACAACGATATGAGCGGTAATCATATCGTGACTGGTTATTTAGATCCAGATAATGCGAAATTGATGAGTTAATTATTAGGTAATTTCTTCTCGAGTTAGTAGTTGTTACTTTGGGTTTGGTTTCATGCTAACCTTAAAAAATAAACGAGTCGCACACTAAGCATAGCAATGATATTTTTATTAAAAATAAATAAAATTTTTATTCAACCTTATAGAATTCATTATTATCAATTAGAACTGTTCCTGCTCATTACACAAAATAATTTGTGAAATGGCCGCTCGGTATTACAGGTAAAAAGAATGAATAAAATTTTATTGAGCTTGATCAAAAAATATCCAAATTTTTATGCCTAAAACCCCGTAGATAGTTCGAACTGAATAACAACAATAATCAATTTTAGCTTGAATAGTTTGGCGGGGAATTCTTCCTTCTCTTATCCATTCCACACGTGCAATTTCCTTTCCGTCAAGGCGTCCCGCAATTTGTACTTGAATTCCTTTTGTATCTGCTTGTTCAGCTAATTCAATAGCTTTTTTCATTGCTTTTCGAAAGGAAACTCTATTCTTTAATTGTCCAGCTATAAATTCGGCAAGAATATTAGGATTTCCATACGGTTTTTCAATTTTTGTGATAGCAATATTAAGTTTTCGGTTTACGAAATTTAATTTTTTTTGTAGAGCTTTTTGTAATTCTTCAACTCCCTGCGGGCTATTTTCAATGAATACTTTGGGAAATCCAATATAGATTATGACTTGGATTAGATCGAGTCTTTTTTTAATACATATACCTGCAATTCCCTCGGTACCCGAGGGTTTGATTCTATTTTTTTGTACATAATTTTTTATAAAAGCTCTTATCTTTTGATCTTCTTGCAGATTTTCAGCATACGTTTTTGGTTGCGAAAACCAAAGTGAATAATGGGCCTGGTTTGTACCAAGTCTGAAACCAAGTGGATTTATTTTTTGTCCCATAAATACCTCCTTTTCTGGATATCAGAATATGCTTTAGTTCTAGAATTTTTTTTCGCTTGTGGTTTTTTTAGCAAACCGAGCTCCACGGATTCAGAATCATTGAATGAAATATCTTTTAGTACAATAGTGATATGGCAGGTCGGTCTTTTTATTGGATAACTACGCCCGCGAGCCCGAGGTTTTAATTTCTTTCCAGCAGTCCCCTCATTAACTTCAGCTTGACTAATAACTAAATTTGCTTTATTTGAAGCCATAGTGTAACTAGCATTTGATGCGGCTGAATAAACCAATTTTAAAATTTGATAACTGGC